TTTGTCAACTGTATGATTACTTAAAACACAATACAAACAGCCATGGCTTTTGGAGGTCTAGTTCTTGTTCTTTTTTTCAGCTGTGCTTTCATTGTTCACTGCAATAACATTTGTGGCAAAACTCTCCCCTTTCTTCTGTTTTATAAAGCTGCTGTTGTTGTTGTTGGAGTTGAGTTGTTGAAGGTCTGCAATATTGGCAAAAAAAGGGATCAGATACAACTTTAACTTTATTTTAATGAATGTAACAAGATCTATAAATAATGCTCTCTGACCCCTATTTTCTTGCAGCTCACAGGCTACATTTCTCTCTCATTTTATTAGGCAGCTTTAGGATTATGCTTTGCATATTCGTTGGCAAGTCCAGTTCTTTCATGTGTGCGATATGTTCTGTTAAGTTAGAGCATCCTTTTAGAAACAGGGAAAATGCATGCAGTGATTTTAATCACTTTTAATGACAGTTGTTAATTTAACCGATATAGGCGTGTGCAAGCTTGTATTTGTTTCCAAAATGTTCAGAAAGAAGACTTTTAGCTTTAAGACAACCAAGTTCTAAAGGTAAATGCTGGCAACTGTGCAGAAGGTCTCTGGGCTGCCCCCTGGTGTCTTGCTCTTGAACAGGGGTATTCAGTTAAAATTTAAACGGGTCCAATCAGAGAAAATTTCTTAAGACCAAGGCCCATAAGATTATAATGTCCTACTATTTAGAGTTATATCTATTTAAGTAGCTTAGTAGTTGTATCAACATCCGCACAAATTGATTTGCATATAAAATTTAATCAATTCAGTCTAATTCAAATACTTTTTCAATATTTATTGTCACGTAACAAAAAGATGAACATGAAATTCTAAAGTCTGATGTTTTATGTTCTCTTGCTGAGTAAAAGTATGATGAACATGTCAAAATAAGAAACTAAATACATGACAACTGTACATGTTGATTTGGTACATTTGTTCAAAACTTTGTACTTTGTTACATAATGGCATTAAACATTGCCATTTTTAATAAGTGTTGCATTTCAGAACATGTGAGGCACACTGGTTTAGTTCCAGTGGCAAGTATAAAGAAAAACGACTGTCCGTCCTGGATTTAATGCTCTATTTTCGCTGTCCATTTTTTTGATGGTACTATTTTTTTTCTGGGGTTTTTTGTATTTTTTTTGTTTTGTATTTGAGTCTGTTAACTCTCCAGTTTTTCTGCCCTTCTCCATCTCAACTAACAGTTTTCTCCATCCTTTCTCACCTGCCTGTATATTTCCTTTTCTATTTCTGTTTCTCCCCCCTTCTCCATCCTTTCCTCTGTCTCCAACACTGGACCACTACTGTAAAGACTGCAAAACCTGTGCAATTAACTGGTTAATGCTGCGTTCAGACCGAACACGTTTTGTGTGTCAAAAATGTGTCCAATGACTCAAGTTGGACTCTTGTGCACTTTGAGGTCAGACGCTCGTCAAAATCGCTCTATTCGCACATGAAGATGCACGTTGAGAGGAGCCTTCTTTGCCAGTCTCTGTACAATGACAGATGAAACTGAGAGAGTGGCATGGCTTTATTTACTGACAGCCAGAGGACATGGTCGTTGGGCACCTTGGATTCACCAGATAATTCAGAGGAGTTCTGAGTTTGGTGAGTTTCACCACTCCAGGAGCTGTGTGCAGATGACTGTTGCATTCAGCGCTTTTTTTTTCTTTTTTTGTCCTGAGCACAGTTTGACTGGGTTGCTGACCCCTGTCGATGCTCATATCTTCTGCCAGGACAACAACTACAGTTGCTTGATTTCAGCTGGAGAGCTCTGTCCATCTGTCTCAGGTTAGTGGGCATCATTCAGGAGATTATCCCGTCGGAAAATGTGCCACTACGTCACACATGGCTAGATGTGGCTGACACTCCATTTCTAGCTGCTAAATTTCAGATTTTCCACCTCAAGTGTCTGCCTCTTTGGATGTGCTATACGTGCATCCAACACTTCAAAACACACAGCAACACTTCTCCATGCCCCACCATAGACTTTGTATTTAAACCCGATGCCCCTGGCCCTGACACTCAAATCTCGTTGGATCTGAATGCAGCATTGCATGCGCTCATTCAAGTTTTAAGTGGTGATCTGTTTTGGCATTGGGTATGGGTCCACATGAGACGCCATTCCGGTCCAGATCAGGACCTAGGTCCGCCTGTTGGTGACCTCTGCGTGCCAACAGTCACTCCAGTTGGACGTTTTGGCCTCCACCCCATTCTCAAATGCTCTTAGAAGTGATTTATATTGAAGGGGGTCTTCATCAAAAACAGGGATGTTTCTTGGTGGCAAAGCAGAGCTCTGATTTTCTTCAACCAACATAGCAGTGATTTCATTTTGCCACTGCATGATGCCAATAATACTGGTTTGATGATCTCTTTGTTGTTCTGGTTGTGTACTTGTGTTTGGACTTTGATGAACTGTTATTTGAGCACACACACTATATGCCTCATCAGTGCTTTGAACTGCTGGTCTTTTCTTTCAGCCGGACACCTACTTATTCAGAAATGATATCAGGCACTTTGACATCATCCATAATTTTCTCTGGAACAAAAATATTGGCACATGGATTGAGTCTTGGCGCTGACTTTGAGTTGCCCTTTTCATAAAATGACTTCAAGCCATCAGAAAGATTTGAACCACACTGTGAATTTATTTCCAACACACAAAGTTTTGTATTTGCAGCTGCTAAACGCAGTCTGAAGCTCAAGTTGCTCCTTTTCATATTTTAGTTTCTCCTTCAGCTCTTCAAGCCACTGTTTCCTTTTGAGCGCTGCAGCGTGCTCCAGCAGCGCTGCCCTTTCAGCTTCAGCCCTTATGAGTGCTGATGTTGTGGAGGAGACACAGGACACTGGAGAACCCAGTTTTGTCTTTACAGAACACATGTTGGGAACACTATCATCAGGATTTATCCCATCTTCAACATTATCTTTAGTTTGATCATCATCTGCATTTTGTAGCACAAAGGGCTGACCAAATTCATACAAACAGGGCACTAGTCCCCTAAAGCGCAAATCCTCTAATAGCGGACATACTGTACATTTCTTGTTTGCACTTTAGGGCTTTTACTAATTTTTCCCAGATGTTTGCGGATTTGCGCTTTCTAATTTTTTTAATTGAGAACTGCTAATCTAAAACTTTCTCCGTATTTTATCCATTATCATCATTTTAAAACTGGGGCAGAACGTTATCTGATATTACAGTTAAGAAACTTCCCTAAGGAGTTTGTCATAATTTAACATCCAATCAGAGAACAGATGGGTTTGGCTGTTGTGCCTGCACTTCTACTCAGGTATATAACTGTGTTGTGTTGCTATTGGATCATTTCAGTCACGTGACCCCCGCTACAGCCCCGTCCTGGGAAACTGTTCATTTTTCTTATGTACTTCATTCACTCATCCATGGAAGGAAAAACAAAAATATGAGGAATAATAGGAGGAATGATGTGGACTTCTTCTGCCTGGCACCTTTTTTTAAACTTCTCTGCACGTGGCAGCGTGCACAGCTACAGTGCAGGTGTACAACCAGGAAGTGTTCATCATTAAAGTCAAGGTAAGAAACATAGTTAGTGGAAAGAAATGGAAACCTGATGTTTTGACTTGGATGTTTAATTTATCATATTAATGTATTGTTGACTGAATAATGAAYCAGCACTCAGATGATAGTAAAATAAACACATCACAACATTTAAAGACAGTGAAAATAAATGTTTGAGTCAGATACAGAGATACTGAGTATTTAATGTTTATTAC